CCGCGCCGGGCCGGGCCGGGCAGAGCGCGCGCAGCCAAACCCCCAGGTCCCGCACCAGCACCGAGGCCTGCACTCGGGGCTCCCGCGCGGCGGCGACTGCGCGGTGCTTGGCAGGAAGCTGTGGCGCCCGGAAGAGCCCGCGCAGCTGCCGCCACCAACACGTTGCACCGAGTCATTCGACGGGCCGCGGCCCCACGTGGGCGGGGCGGGCGACCAGGCTTGGGTCCGGGCTGCGCCCCGCCTGCTGAGGGCGCAGATCCCCCCGGGGCCTAGGAACCCCTGGAGAAGTAGTAACGGTCAGGCTCACTTTTGTGCAGGCGCCTTGCTGAACATTTCACGTGTTTTATTATCACATTTAATCCTACACGCTCTTCGTTGTTGTTCTTAGGTGCTGTCCAGTCGCTTCTGACGCATAGCGACCCTAGGTACAACAGAAGGAAATACTGCTTGGTCCTGCGCCATCCTCACAATGGTTGTTACGTTTGAGCCCATCCTGGCAGCCACCATCGTGGAAACCTCTGTGTCAATCCATCTCACTAAGGGTCTTCCTCTCTTTCACTTACCCTCTACCAAGCATGATGTCCTTCTCCAGGGACTGGTCCCTCCTTATAACATGTCCAAAATACGTGAGAGAAGTCTCGCCATCTTCACTTCTAAGAGCATGCTGGCTGTACTTCTTCCAAGACAGATTTGTTCATTCTTCTGGCAGTCCATGGTATAGTCAATATTCTTCGCCAACACCATAATTCAAAGGCATCAATTCTTCTTTAGTTTTCCCTATTCATTGTCCAGCTTTCCAACGTATACGAGACAATTTAAAATACAATGGCTTGGATCAGGCACACCTTAGTCCTCAAAGTGACATCTTTGCTTTTTAATACTTTAAAGAGGCCCTTTGCAACAGATTTGCCCAGTGAACTACCATGCTTGATTTCTTGACTGCTGCTGCCACAGGTGTTAATTGTGGATCCAAGTAAAATGAAATCCTTGACAACTTCAATCTTTTCTCCGTTTACCGTGATGTTGCTTACTGGTCCAGTTGTGAGGACTTTTGTTTTCATTATGTTGAGGTGTAATCCATCAGATGAAGTCTTTCATCTTCATCAGTAAGTGCTTCAAGTCCTCTTCACTTTCAACAAGCAAGGTTGTGTCATCTGCATACTGCACCTTAATGAGTCTTCCTCCATTCCTGATGCTGGGTTCTTTTTCATATAGTCCAGCTTCTCGTATTATTTGCTCAGCAGACAGATTCAGCAAGTACGGTGAAAAGATACAACCCCGACACACACCTTTCCTGATATTAAACCTCGTCATATCCCCTTGTTCTGTTCGAACGACTGCCTCTTCATCTATGCACAGGATCCTCATAAGCAATATTAAGTGTTCTGGAATCCCCATTCTTTACAATGTTAACCAAAATTTGTTATGATCTACATAGTCGAATGCCTTTGCATAGTGAATAAAACACAGGTAAACATCTTTCTGGTTTTCTCTGCTTTCAACCAGGACCATTTGACATCAGCAATGATATCCCTCGTTCCACATTCTCTTCTGAATCCAGCTTGAATTTCTGGCAGTTCACTGTCGATATACTGCTGCAACCGTTTTTGAATTATCTTCAACAAAATTTTACTTGTTTGTGATTTAATGATATTGTTTGATAATTTCCATGTTCGGTTGAATCACCTTTCTTTGGAATGGGTACAAATATGAATCTCTTCCAGTCAGTTGGCCAGGTAGCTATCTTCCAAATTCCCTGACATAGACAAGTGAGCACCTCCAGCACTGCATCTGTTTGTTGAAATATCTCAATTGGTATTCCATCAATTCCCGGAGACTTGTTTTTCTCAATGCCTTCAGTGCAGCTCGGACTTCTTCCGTCAATACCATTGGTTCTTAATCATATGCTACCTCCTGAAGTGGTTGAACGTCGACCAATTCTTTTTAGTACAGTGACTCTGTGTATTCCTTCCATCTTCTTTTGATGCTTCCCGAGTTGTTCAATATTTTTCCCATAGAATCCTTCAGTATTTCAACTTGAGGCTTGAATTTTTTCTTCAGTTCTTTCACCTTGATAAATGCTGACCTTGTTCTTCCCTTTTGGTTTTCTAACTCCAGGTCTTTGCATGTAATTATAATATTTTATTCTGTCTTCTCGAGCCACCCTTTGAAATCTTCTGTTCAGCTCTTTTACGTCATCGTTTCTTCCTTTCACCTTAGCTACTCTACGTTCAAGAGCAAGTTTCAGAGTCTCTTCTGACATCCATTTTGGTCATTTCTTTTTTTCCTGTCTTTTTAATGGCCTTTTGCTTTCTTCACGTATGATGTCCTTGATGTTATCCCACAACTCGCCTGGTCTTCGGTCATTAGTGTTGAATGTGTCAAATCTATTCTTGAGATGGTCTCTAAATTCATGTGGGATATACTTAAGATCGTATATTGGCTCTTGTGGTCTTGTTTTAATTTTCTTCAGCTTCATCTTGAACTTGCGTATGAGCAATTCATAGTCTGTTCCGAAGTCAGCCCCTGGCCTTATTCTGACTGATGATATTGAGCTTCTCCATTGTCCGTTTCCACAGATGTAGTCGATCTGATTCCTGTGTATTCCATCCAGTGAGGTCCACGTCTATAGTCGCAGTTTATGTTATAACCCCTTCAGGGGGCAGCTATTTCTGTCATCCACATGTAATAGTTGATTTAGACCCACAGAGCCCATTCATAACATCCCAGATTTTATCAGACTAAGATTCAAAGACTGTGGGACCTGGAGGTAAACCTCCATTTTGCACATTGGGAAATTGAGGCCTCCAGGTGAAGTGAGTTGCTCAACGCCCTATGCATTGCATTATTATTTCAACATCTCTCAAAAATAGTCTCTTATTCCATGGCTTCAAATTGGTTAGGCATTTTGCAGCTCTCCTTATGAATTTGATTGGAATGTGAATTTCTGCATTCATGCCTTTATGTCTCGCTGCCAGGCTGAAGCTCCAGACTCAAGGAAGTAATGGAGGTTCTAGTGGGAAGCCCGAAGGCTGGAACTGATGGACTAGGAACCACACTAAGGGCCTCAGAGTCAACCTTTCACCCTGAGGATGGATGCCAGCTGGATACTCTGCAGTGGTGGGTAAAGGGCTAATCCACATGACAAGGACTCAGTGACCTTAAACAGCTCACTCCTGGTCCTGCTAGAGAAGACACAAGTAAATAAAGATAGCAGGATGCATTAGTTACCTATTATTATTGGTGTTAGTAGCTGTGGAGTCAGCTGCAACCCATGGCGACCCCATGGGTGCAGAGTAGAACTGCACTCGATAGGGTTTTCAAGGCTACAACCTTTAAGAAGCAGATCAGCAAACTTTCTTCCAAGGCTCGTCTGGGTGAGTTTGAACTGCCAACCATTCCACTAGTAATAGAGTGCTTAACCATTTGCATTACCCAGGGGCTCCAGTTATCTCTTGCTGTGTAATAAATTACCCCAAAATTTAGCAGCTTATAACAATACACATTTATTCTCCCACAGTATCTGTGGACAAGGAATCTGAACACAGCTTAGCTAAGTCTTTTGCTTCAGGCTCTCTCACAAGGTGCAGTCAAGATGGTGGCCAGGGCTGGAGTCTCATCTGAAAGCTTAACTGGGGAAGGATCCTATTCCAAGCTCATTCAAATGGTTGTTGGCAGGATTCCATTCCTCACAGGCCGTTGGATGGAGAGCTTCAGTTCCCCACTGGCTGTTAGCTGGAGGTTGCCTTGTGTTCCTTGCCTTCCCACCTCAGCAGCATGGTATGCTTCATCAAAGCGTGCAAGCCAAGGAAGCAATAGAAACAGCTGCTAGCAAGACAGAAGTAGCTATCTTATGAAACCTCACCCCTGAAATGATACATCAACACCTTTGCAATTTTCTATTGGTTAGGAGCAGGCACAGGTCTCGTCTACATTCAAGAGGAAGAGATTACACAGGAGCGTAAATACCAGGAAACAAGGATCATTGGGGATGATCGTAGAAGCTGCCTGCTACATACAGTGAGATACATTTTTATTTTGGGGGAGATGAAAAATAATCAGATTATCCAAAGACATCACCCAAAAGGGTGATGATAGTCAAGCACACCCTAGTGCTGAAAGATTTGAACAGATCACGTGATTTAGATCCCACTCTAAATACCACTCTGTGGTATGACAAAAAATGTTGCATTAAAAGAGCCCCGGTGATGCAGTGGTTAAGTGCTCGGCTGCTAACTGGTAAGTCGGCAATTTGAACCCACTCAGCAGCTCTGCAGGAGAAAAGACTTGACAATCTGCTCCCATAAAGATTACAGTCTAGGAACCCTATGGGGCAGTTCTACTCTGTCATATAAGGTCACTATGAGTTGGAATCGCCTCAACAGCACACAACAACAAGAAGTCTCCTACATTGTGAGAAATAAATTTCTGTTCGTTAAAAGCCACCCACTTGTGGTATTTCTGGTATAGCAACACTAAGAACCTGAGACAGTGTACTTTTCCTTCTTTAGCCACAATTCATGGGCTGAAGTAGACTTGTTTGGTAGTTTAACATTGACTTAACACTGGTTGATATTTTAGTAAAGTGAAACTTCAGAGTTTTATTTTTCAAGAGTGTTTGCTGTGCAAACCATCACGACAAAGGACTCACTGATAAATTGCCCTAGATTAGATTGCCTTCCAATTGCTAGAAAAGGACATCATTGTTTAGCAAAGTAGAGGGTGAATGAAAATGAGGGAAGCCCTCAGTGAGATGGATTGACACAGTCACCACAACAATGAACTCAAACATACCAACGATCGTAAAGATGGTGCAGGACCTGGCAAGGTTTTTGTTCTGTTGTGTCAGAACCGACTGGTCATCATCTAACAACAGCAACAACAGATGCCTTAAACACTTGATTCAACCCACTAGTAATTCAACCAATATTTTTCTCACGTGGAACACTGGTCACAGGCAACAGAAACCAACTCTGGCTAGTCTGAGAAAGAAAGGAGTTTATTACAAGCATGCGAGTTACTCCCAAAATTGACTATAAGCTAGAGCAGTGGTTTTAAAAGTGGGATTTGTGGACCCTAGGTCCCTGAGATCCTTTCAGTGAACCTGTCAGGACAAACTACTCTTATAATGATGTCGTTGTTAGCCGTCGAATCGGCTCATGACGACTTGTGTACAACAGAACAAAACGTTGCTCAGTCCTGCACCATCTTCGTGATCATCGCTATGCCTGAGTCGAGCGTTGTGGCTGTTGTGTCAATCCATCTCGGTGAGAATTTCCCTCATTTTCGTTTGCCTTCTACTTTACCAAACATTACGTCCTTTCCTGATGATGTGTCCAAAGTAAGTAAGTCGAAATCTCATCCTTCTCAATTCTGAGGAACATTCTGGCTGTATTTCTTCTAAGACTGACTTGTTCTTTTGGCAGTCCACAGTATAGTCAATATTCTTTGCCAACACCGCCACCCATCTGTCAGTTTGTCTATGGTGACTCGCCTGTTGCTGTGAT